TAAACATTAAGAAAAGCGATGATAAATGTATAAGTGATACGCAAAGGTTAATATAATTATTAATAGTAAGAATGTTATTCATATCCCACAAAAATGTGAGTTTGAATCTTTCTTGTTTTCAATGTGAAGAACTCACGATTTGTAAATGCCTCATTTTTAATGTTGTTATTTATAAATTATAAATTAACAATTTTTATCACAAAAAATTATTGTGATTTCTGAAAAAAACAAGTAAATTATAATATCATAAAGGGTTAATATGTAATTTGAGTTTTAAACTATAAGTTTAAGGGCAATTGGAACCATATACTTGTAATTAGTATATTTTAGATTCTAAACAATCAAACTTGGGGCATCCTTGTTCCTACCATTTATTTGGTTCCAATATCCATTAATAAAAAGGTTAAAATAATAATTTAGATCATAAACTATAAGGTCAAGGTCGATTTCAACCCTAAACTCATATTTTATATAATTTGAGTTCTCAACAATTAAATTTAAAATTAACATCAATTTACTTTAAGCATAGTGGGGCCTTGCCTTTTTATTTTTGACACCATCTACCCTTGTCTTGTTTCTTCCCTAGCTCTCTATTTCTAGGAGTGTTCAGCTTGTATCCATCTCAATTGGTCTGATATCATTCCAATCATATCGAGACAGGTCTCATCCCGGACCAAAAACAATTATGATGGGATTTTGCAGGATGAGATAGGAAAAGATTCTAGGATGGGACGGGACATGAGATTACCATCAAGACATCCCGTCCTGAATATTATATATATTATTTTTATTTTTAAAATATACATAACTTATATTAATATAATTTATACTTATATTAATTATATCAATTATAATTTCAATACTTGCAATTCTTATATAAAATTAAAGTTTTTTATTTTGATAATTTTAATGACATAGAGTAAGTAGGGTGATATCTTTTTTTTAATATATTAATTATATTAATACAATTTATTCTTATATCTATCTATTTAATAACTTTTATTTATATCATATTTCTTATTTTATTTTTGAAAGAGTAATTAGCTTAAGACATTCCAACTAAAGTAGAAGAATAATGATTTAATGTTATAATTGGCTTGCTTATTATTACTGCTCTTATAGCCTATAAATCACTTGTAATTACTATGATAATGTGTAGTTGTGATTAACGTAATTTAATAATTGCCTTTAAATCATTGTAATTTATGTACTTGTTTTATTTTGATTTTAAATTTAATAAATTATATAATTTAAAGTTTTAATGAATGTTATTATTTAGATTTTTCTTTGACATTATTTGATTTATCAGCACGGTAGGATATCTCGATCTCGTCCCTGTCCCATCCTGATTCCTAATGGGATAAGACGACTTTCGGGACAGGATGAGACACAGGGCAAAAATTTAGTCTTGCTTTTTTTTTAGGACGAGACACAAGATGAGGGTATCCTGATCCCATCTCGTCCTGTAAATACCCCTATCTGTTTCTAATCCATGTCTTTTGTTAATAGTTAATGGCAAATCGTGAAATTCGTGACATTGGCTAGAAGTGTGTGTGTGTGCATATATAATTTTTATCTAGACACCACAATAAATTAAATTAAAATTAACACAAACGCTTATGTATCCAAATCACTATATTAGAAATCAATCTTTAATTTACTCAATTAAAAAAAATAAATTACAAAGGAACCTCACATGGGTATCTGTAACAGCCTTCCGCTCACCTCACCTATCCGAGGTCTTTTGCGGTGCTGGACACTCTCCCCCCAGGCCCCACAACAGGGCGACCCCACCCCTTACGGTGAGCATCAGGAGACAAAGGCTTCCCCGCAGTAGTGTGCAGGATTATTCCCCTTGCGGAGAGCCTCCCCAGGTTCGATCCTCCAACCTCTCCTACATAACAAAGTTGAGGCTGAACCTGGTACCATTGAACGGTTCAATGGTACCAGGTTCAGCCTCAACTTTGTTATGTAGGAGAGGTTGGAGGATCGAACCTGGGGAGGCTCTCCGCAAGGGGAATAATCCTGCACACTACTGCGGGGAAGCCTTTGTCTCCTGATGCTCACCGTAAGGGGTGGGGTCGCCCTGTTGTGGGGCCTGGGGGGAGAGTGTCCAGCGCCACAAAAGACCTCGGGTAGGCGGGGTGAGCGGAGGGCTGTTACGGTATCTATGAGGTTGGCTCCTTCCAAAGTGATCAAAATGTCACAAGCCAGTGTAATCTCGAATCCAACCATCACAACAAACCCTGTAATGTCATCCTTGAAGACATCTTTCATTGTGATCAAGTCCACACCTGAACAAACCGGTCGACATGAGCCAATTAATATGATTACTTGCACAGAATCATCCTTGTCCAACCTCTTGAATTCTTGGGACAATCAGCTCATCCTTGTTCCTAACTCTCTTGTGTTCAATATTATTCAGGAAACTCTCTTCTTTGTCCTCAATTCCTCTCTTCTCTCTTCTATCCTTCCCTATTCTTCTCTGTTCTATACAACAGTGTTTGTTAATGCAGATCACATGTTCGTTAAAATGCTCATTACAGAGGATAAACACACGTGGCAAAATATTAGTTTCATGCAAAACTTGTTTAGATGCTGCACATTGGTTTAGTGTTCCTAATTTTTGAGCTAATGAAAATGTAAATGCATGTCTTATTAAAAAAAATGTAAATTTGTTTGGAAATGTTCCTTATGTCTTAAAATTTTTCTATCAAATCGACTAGCTTATGAAATTCTTATTATGACAAATGTAAAAGTTAGGAAACATAGATATCAATATGGACATGGCACACAACACTAATATGGGCATGTTAACATGAGGTATTTGATTGTGTTTTAAAGTTGATTGTATTTTAAAGTTGTGTTGATGCTAATATGAGTGTTCAATATGTGTGAGACATGGGCTCAACTCTTCTTCGAAATATCTTTGTTATATTTGGAAAGCTTCTTATACTTTGCAATTAATGGTGGATGCTCTTTGAAGTATGTGTCATGTCCTGTGTTCATATCTCTCTTTCTTTGAGAACATGTTGTATCAAAGTTTTCTATTCAAAGCTTGATTCTTCTTGACAAGCTTAAGTGCATGATGACTACCATATCATGATTTTTACAACTATTGGGAATAAATTGTTGTACCATGTTAAGATTAATACAAGATTGAAATACATTTCTATTTTGTGGAATAGAGTATTTGAAAGATGCGAAGAACTACAATAGAGGTCAATGACCAATTATGTCACTTGAAATCTTAACTTGATTTCTTTTAATAATCTCTTATCACACATGCACACACGCACGTATGTATATATAGATACATATGTGATGCATTTGAAGAAGTTTGAAAAAAATAGTTTATAAATGCTCTATGAAATTTATTTATTTACTTGTTTGTTTTACAAGAAAAAATTTTATAAATTGAAAGAACAAAATTTCATACATAATTGTAAACACGTATGGAGGGACCAAACATAGCGTGCATGTTATTTATAAAATTTATGTTTATGCTAGTTTTTTTTTATGGTTTATGGTAATGCTGGATATGTTATTTATTTTTATAGACCGTGTGTTTGCACTTGATATTCATAACCCCTGAGCTAGGCCTGATATTCATAGCCTTTAGGTTGCGCTTGTCATTTGTGGCCTTCGTCGTGCTTGATTGGCGTTTTTCCCACAAGGGGTGTGTACCCATGATAGATATTTCATGCTATGTCGACTCCTTTAAAGAAACTTTTTTTTTTCTCTCAAGAAAATACTTTTATTAAACTCTTATTATTAATTTAAAATTATCATTTTTACAATATTGTTTTGATTCCTATCTTTGATAGTACCACTTATTTATTATAATAAGCGTGTTCTGTATTGACAAACATATTTCAACATCAATTTATCTATACCTTAAGTATTTTAAAGATTTTAAATTATCAGGGTATGGCTCTCACCTTGGAAAAAAAAATATGAACAGGACTCAGTATTTATTTATTTGTTCTTTATATTTTAATTGTTTTTCAATGAACCTGGTTATCACGCACTTATTAAATTATTTGTGTTTCAGATACTAGAAACTTGCCACTTCCTTCATCTGCATTATTTGAATTCCCGTACTTGTTGGATAGGTGTAATAACTGCTTAGGTAAAGCTATAAAGCTGAATTTATGATAAATTTGCTTGATGATTTGGCTGTAATTAAGATTTTCTCTATAAAGTTTTAGGCAAATATTCATATATATATATATATATGATTTTTAGTATATATGTTTTGGAAGAAGGGCTCTCATTTTTTTTTCTAACAAAGTTGATATAAATATTTTTTTAAATAATAATAATTCAACTCTTGAGAGGGATTATATTGAAATTTATATAAACACCCACGAGTGAATATTACAATACCAATTGAGATTATATTAGTGAAGTGGATTTTTGCCAAGTACAGCTAGAATTATAAATTGATTGAGCTTACGAAGTGAGGTTTATTTTGTACTTTGTGCCAATTACGCTTGTTTTGGTGGGGCTTGATATTAGGGTTTAAATTGCTATTTAATCCTTAATAAAATATAGGTGATAAGGATATTATTAACGAATGTTAGGACTAAATTAACATTGGGGGTGAGAATACTCTAAATTTAATTATTTAAGGTTTAAAATATATTAATTTGAGTATAGAGTTCAAACTGTCTATGAACCTATAATTCAAAATTTAAATTGCATATCATAAATTACGAAAAATAATTTTTTATTATATTTTTTTATTTAAAGTAATTATATTTAAAATACAGTTAGACATTAAATGTAAAATGAGTAATAATTTTATTAAAATAACTTTTTGAGATTTTTTTTTAAGGTGTGTTTTAGTTGGAGGAGAGGGAAAACTTTTAGATAGAAAAAATGGAGAGTTTTCCTTCCTTGCCAACTCTCCTTTCCCTTTTTCCATCTAAACAAAGAAGGAAAAATTTCATTAAAATCTCTGCTATCTTCCAACCAAGCCGGGGTTAATTAATTTTCTCAATCCTCCCCTCTGAGAATTTCGAGGGATTCCTTACCCAGAGAAGCCAATACGATGACGTTTTGTGTCACGAGTACCACATTGCATTTCGTTTTCCCTTCCCTAACCCGCCTTCTCCTGACCAAATGCTCGACCGGAACCCTTTTGAGTTTCGTTTTCGTCATCCTTGAACGCCCGGGTGGGATGGAGGTACCCGATGAACCCTCTCATATTTTATCCTCTTCCGGTGTCCGTTTCTTGATGGAATTGGGGCCGTGTTGAGGCATCCGAAGAATATCAGCTGTGTTCGAATGGGGCAAATGTGGTATGGTTTTGTTGAAGATTTTTTCTTTTATATGTGTAAGGAGGATTAATTCTGTCTTCTGTTGGATTTCTCTTTGATAACACTTAATAGTTATTTCAATTAAGGTACTTCCAAGTTTTGGTTCAATTTGGAAGCATCGGTATATGTTTGTAGCGTAAATACTATACAGGGGAAATAGATAAACCGCATTTACCAATGTTTCCGAAACCTATTTATGTCAATATGTATGTATGTGAAGCCATTTTCTAAGCTGAACCCAGCCGCCATAGTCTCAACGTAGGTTTTGTCGTTGTTTTATTTCATTCTGAATGAATTTCTGTGTGTGGGGGACTGAGCTCGCAAGTGCTGTTATAATTTATGGTAATTTTAATCTCTCTGGAAATGTAAGTTAAATATGTTTATTAGTACCCAATTGAGGATTTTTTTTTTTTGGCTTTTCTTTGATATTGAAAGAAGTATAAAGGGTGAGAACACCACTGCAAAGATCATGGACCCTTTTCTGCTTTTCTACTGTTTATGCTTGTTTCCCAGGTGAAGACTATTAAATATACTGGGTGGAATAGAGCTCAGGAAAATATTTAGTGATGAAAAGCAGTACAATGTCTCATTCCCGAGAAATTCTCATTCTCATCCAAAAGATGGTGAAGCTCCCACCAGAAAAAGCTCTCTCCTTCTTCAATTGCTCAATCATCTGTGGTGTTCGTCACACCTGCCAATCAATATCCTTCATCTTAAACCATCTCCTCACCTCTGGCATGCTATCTGAGGTGCAGTCTCTGCTTGGGCGGTTGATCTCTGGACAACTTTTGTGTAAGTTCTCTCCATCATCACTTATGGATCAGCTAACTGAAACCTGTTATTTTTCAGAGCCAACATCTTCCCTCCTTTATGAAGCACTTGTTAATGCCTCTCTCAATTCTAAATTACATGATCAAGCCCTCTATATTTTTAAACAGATGATTGACAAGGGCATTGTTCCTAGGCCAAAAACGTTCAATAATCTCTTGAGCTCACTTATTAGATCCAATTGCTTTCAAGAAGCATGGTGGATTTTTAATGAAGCAAAGGGTAAGCCTATGCTAGATGTATACAGTTTTGGGATTTTGATCAAGGGTTGTTGTGAAACTGGTGACATGATTAAAGCTTTTCAACTTTTTGCTCAGTTGGAAGAGCTGGCATGGCCTCCAAATGTTGTCATATACACCACATTGATCAATGGCTGCTTCAAGAGTGGTGATTTTCAACTGGCAAAGAAGCTGTATTGCACGATGGAGAAATTGTGTTTAGTTCCCAATCCTCATACATACACAGTGTTAATCAACGGGTTTTTCAAGCAAGGCCTAAAGAAAGAAGGATTTCAAATGTATGAAACCATGAAGCGAAATCAAGCTGTCCCTAGTAGTCATACTTACAATTGCGTGATTAACGAACACTGCAATGATGGGAACATGGGTGAAGCTTTTAAGGTGTTCGAAGAAATGCAAGAGAAAGGCGTGGCATGTGGTGTTGTGACATACAATACTTTGATTTGTGGGTTATGTCGAGTGCAGAGGCTCTGGGAAGCTTTGAAGATGCTTGATCAAGTAAACAGTGTTGGCCTAAGTCCTAATGTAATCACATATAACACACTGATAAAGGGCTTTTGTGACGCTGGAAAGATGGACGTCGCTGCTAGATTATTTAACAAATTGAAGTCAAACGGACCATCTCCTTCCTTAGTCACATATAATACATTGATCGCAGGATATGCTAGGAATGAGAATTTGGAAAAAGCTCTTCACTTGGTCAGGGAAATGGAGGAGAGAAGCATTGCTCCCTCCAAAGTATCATATACGACTCTAATTGATGCCTTTGTAAGGCTAAATGAGATGGAGAAGGCATTTGGAATGCTTTCTTTTATGGAAAAGTCTGGTTTGAGATCAGATGTTTGCACTTATGGTGTCCTAATACATGGTTTATGTACAAGAGGCCGTATGGAGGAAGCGTCAAAACTCTTCAGATCAATGGGTGACAAGAACTTGAAACCAAACAATGTGATATATAATATCATGATTCATGGTTACTGCAAACAAGGAAACTCCTACAGGGCCCTAAGGCTGCTTGAAGAAATGGTGGAGAGTGGAATGGTACCAAATGTGGCTAGCTACAGCTTGACTATCAGAGCTCTCTGCAATGATGGGAAGTGGAAGGAAGCTGAGCAGCTTCTAAGAGAGATGATAAATTCAGGATTACAGCCATCAGTGTATTTGTCCGATTTAATTTCCCAAGCCAAAAATCACAGTGGCTGAGAAATTTCAATTATGCTATTTGTGTAAATCGAAAATTATAATTGTGATCATCAAGTCCCTTTTCATATTGTTAATGTCTTTGCCCCACGAAGATGAATGATGAATTACTAGTACTCTTCTGATGTACAATGGAATCATCAGAGACACTGGAGTTTAGGGGTAAATAAAAACGGTGTCAAGTACAGTAGTCCAAACCTGTAATCTACAAACCCAAGCCGCATTTTTATAGTCCGAGTTGATAGGTTTGAGTTGTACGGTATTCACATGAGAAGATTTTCTTGGCCTTTTCTTTATTGTTATTGGTATGCATATTACAATTTTATAATTTTCGTTCAATATTTTTTCTACTTATATAAAATAAGAATGTAATAATGTTTTTTTCATTAAAATTATTTTGTTTCAATTTTTTTTTTTCATTTAACTCTTTTCCATTCTGTTTATAGAAGGTTGGGTTGAGTTGAGCCTTCATCCAAACACGCCCAATCTCTATATCCTGAGATTTGATTAGCAAAATAAAAATATAAGTTTATTTATAAGAACTACTTGTCCTAAAAAATTGAGAATTCAAAGAAAAATAGTAACTCAAGATTATGACACTCGATGTAATTATCATGATTTTTCCTTGGATAAGACTATCGTTATGGTAATGCATAATGCACTGGTACGGTTACTACTGCATTTCCACACGTCTAATGGTGGTGATCCACTTTTATGAAGATATCTATATAACTATATTTATATTGGAATGCTGCAAAATAAATGGGATTGTTGCTCGTGGGGCTTGTTCTGTTCTTTCTGATTTTGTAGTTCTTGAGGCACTTCTTACAATGGCTGAACCATAACAGGGTACTTGTTCTTCGGCATCCGTACAAGTGTCGGCTGCACAGAATCATCTTTCTCCAGAGGCTTCCACCTGTGACACCATGTAAAAGTGTCAGGTGATGGTGTCTAATGCGCATTGTCTTGAATGGTCATGTGAACAATAACATTTGGGTTTTTTAAGAGTTGTCTTGTGCTTGACTCTGTATTAACTAATATACTTTTCTCTGTTTCCATCTTACTTGTATCTGATGACCAGCTGATGAATGAAAACACAAATTTCAAGCTTGGCCAGATTCATTCCAGGGCACATGCGTGGTCCACTACCAAATCCAAGAAAGCTGAAAGGCTTTAAGGGTGCCTGAAATAGGTTCAAGAATATATTTTGATTTGTTTCCCCAACTGGTAGATTTTTTTAATGAAAAAGAAAATTAATCAAAGCGATAGAGATAGAGATACATATGTGTGTGTATAGATAGAGTTGTGTGGAAGGAGATTACATCAAATCTTGAAGGATCGAACTTCTGAGGATCTGGGAAAACTTCTGGGTCATGGTGTATGGACACAACATCTAGGTTCAAAGACCAACCTTTCTTAATTTTATATCCTGCAAAATCCAACATTCATTCAGCATCTATTACACAAGCATCTCATATTATGTGTTGCGACTGTCTATGACTTTGCAAGTTCGTACTTGTCTAAGGCCATTTCAATTCAAAAGCTTGAGTTGTTACATAAAGTCCTATGAAAAATTTTATTATGATAACTTACTGTAATGTTATTATGTAGGAATAGAAACGCTAATGACATACCATCAATTTCAAAATCCTGGGAAGCTTTTCTAGAGAACCAAGGCAGAATTGTGGCTCTTCTCAATGTTTCACTAATAACCTAGAGATGAAAAAAGGGCAAACATCAGAATAAGCTTTTGAAATTCTAAACCTACTATTGAAGCTAACAAATTAACATATTTTTAATGCAGTGCTCACTTTGGCTGTGTAAGGCATGTTATTCACTTCAAACCATGTCAGATCTGTACCATCCTTTCTGTTTGCTATAATCTGCATGTGTTCCTCCTGCAAAACCAGCATCAGAACTTCAGATTTCAGGCTCATCAAACCAAGGAAAGTTGATTTGTACTGTGTCCTTATAAGAAATTACTCTTAGTTGTTCCAAAACTGCAAGATTTTCTTCAAGAAATTTGATGAGCCAAGTGAGAGCAGCAGTTGTAGTGTCGTGGCCTGCAACCAGTAAAGTTAATATATTGTCTTTCAGTTGCTTATCAGTAAGTTTATTTTCATTGTCTTCTTCATCTGCTTCTGCCACTTTGGTGTGCTTCATAATCAGGGACTCTAAGAAATCCTGTTGAAACTCTTCACCACTTCTCCTCATGGAAATTGTGGAATCCAACATGGCATACATCCTATCCCGGGCCTGCTCGAATAAAACACTAGAGTTCATACTTCTTCAGGACATCTTAATATCTTATTGATGAAATTCACTGTCAAGCCGCCTGAGCCACGCCCAAGAACGGGTCCAACTTGGGTTTAAGCCCATTTTCCCAAATACAAGGCCCAAGTCTAGGCCCATTATATCAGACCAAGTATGATCATGGCCTACCAAGCTCAGTAATAGCCCTTTAACATATATTTATGTCCTACTTTTTCTTACCTTGATACCACGATGGAAAGCTGTTCCTGGAATCTTGAAAGGCAAAGATGCAAATGATGATGAAATTAGCTTGAAATTGGCACGAAATTTTTCTTGCTCTTCCCCCGTAGGCTCTAAGCTCATGATCATGTGTCCAATCACTTTCAGCGTAAACTGCAATGCAATATTCAGTCAATGGCTTAGCATAATATAGTATGACATAAATTGTGCAAAAGTAGAACACCGGAATATGCTGTATTTTGATGCCATCTTGACCCTTAACTGTAGAAACCTCTTCAAGAACCAGAACTTTTCTTCCAGACCATTGATCTAATGTTGTCATTGCTTGAGTATTGATGAAATGAAAATACTTTTTCAGACCATACACTGATAATGGTTCAGCAATCAGCCTTCTAAGCCTTTTATGTGCCTCTCCTGTGGTTTGAAGCAAGCTGGTGGGGCCCAGAACTTGCTGGCCTGTGTAGAACAGGTTCAAGCTCACAATGCCATCCTTCCCAGTCAGCAATATCTTGCTTGCTTCTCTCCCAGTCATGAAGACAGTGAACCTCCCAAGCACAAAGCTCTTGAACACCTTTCCAAATCTAGGAGGAAGTTTCCCAAATCAGTAATCAAAAGTCCAACTTTTTACATAAAAGATTGCGTAAATTTAAGGAACTAAAATATTGGATTAGGTGGAAGTTATGAAGTATGATTAAATGAGATTGTGGTTACCTCTGCTGCCTGGTGTTCATGAAGTTGAAGATACCAGAAGGACTGGAGAAGTCAGAGATAAAAGAGAAACTCTCACCCACAAGAGGCCAACCAAGGCTGCCTGGTATGTCTTCCATTTCTTTTGGTGAAGGGCTTTTGTAAAGCAACCACACAGCTGATAGCACTAATAATGATATGGAACAGATCACAAACATCGCAAGACTTGTTAGCTCCATTATTATTCTCCTTCACTGCTCACACCTCTTTCTTTCTATCTTGAACTTGCTCTGCTTATAACATTTCTCATGTATTTCAGTCTCTGCTCACAGCCGGGGACTTATATAGCACTTTGATGAAGATCATGTTTTGCTTTTATTGACCGTATATTAACACACACACACACACACACACACGTATATATATATATATATATGCAAAGCCGACCGCTCGTGTTTAACCAAATTCCTTTTAATTCTGAGGATCCTTGCCTCGCAAAAATATATTTTTAATGTATTCATTTTATTTCAAATTTTATTTTTATCTATCAATTTTAACTTTATATTTATAGCTATACCAACAAGGCGGAGTCAGAATTTAGTTATAAAAGGATCAAAATTGAAAAACATATGCAAGTCAAAAGTGAATTTGCTAACATTTTCTTCAGGTACATGTTGTTTTATTGAGGAAAACTTTTTTTTTTAAGTTTTAATATAAAAAAATGTTGTTGTTCTTTTCAATATTTTAATATTAAATATGAATACAAATTTTTATTCAGAAAATTACTTTTTAATTTTATTCTTTGGATCAAATCGCCGATGATTCCTATATCATTAGTTGAAAGCATCTATTTTCGAGGCCATGTTTGATTGTTTGTTGTGTAGGATCTTTGGAGGTATCGCTTTTTCTCTTCGTTCTTGTTGGTATCAATCCTTTGTATTATTTAATGAATTAATAATTAATCGTTGTGTACTTGTGTCTTCTTGGAGAGCACTGATATTCAATTCTTTATGATAGTTAGATAGTTTGATTAAGGGAAAACATAATTATTGGCTTTCATAGTTTTATCATATTTTATTATGGGTCACTGTAATTTGTTTTCATTATCTTAGGTGTCTATAGTTGTTTGGTCTATATCATTAATTATTTTATTTTTAAATATACTCAGAGAGATAACGATGTAATACCGAGGGTATTAAGTTGGCTAACATGTAATTAACTCTATGAATTGAATGTTAAAATAAGAAGAAAAAAAAGACATAGCAATCACAAAATACAAAGTAAAGAAGATCAATTGATATAGTGAATGAAACTAAAGTAGAGGCAAAGATATGAGTTTTGAAGTCTGTAAAAACAAATGAAATAAAAATTAACATCCGTTTGACGCGCAATAAAATGATGTTAGTTACCCATAATATAATTTAGCATAATTAGAGCTACATTATCATCCCACTTGGTATAATTCAAAATAAAGGGACTAATATTATAGATGAAAAAATATAAGAACTTGGAATAATGAAAAAAAAAATACAAGAATCAGTAACAAAACATGATAAAATCATGAGACTCGCAATTGTGTTTTTCCATTGATCAAAACAACCAGACGTGGTTCTCATTGACCGTACTAATTATTTGCCGTCCCTCTGCATTCTGAAAAATAGTTTATTTATTTCTTTATAGTTTTTTTTGCAATAAAAAGGTACAATTAATAATTATAACTCTTTTATGGTCAAAATCTTCAATAAAAATAAAAAAACAAAAACATATTCCCTTCATCTTAAATTAGAAAATAACGTGAAAAGATTGTTATTTCAAAATATAAAATAATTTGAAAAAATAAAATTATATTGGTAATGCTTTTTAATATTACTCTTTAAGTTTGGCCAAAAAAATATATTACTCTTTAAGTAGAAAAATAATTGAAATGATTATAAATTTAAAATTATATTAAATGAAAAGTATTTTTAAAATTTTATATTTTTATTTTAAAAAACGTTAGTTTATAAAGTATTGTCATTAAGCTTTATTAATATACATAATTTTATATTAAATTGTCTTACATTTTAGGCAGGAAGAAGTAATAAATATTGTAGGTTGAATTAATTATGAAATATAATAAAAATATAATACCAAGATAATATATATGTAATTTGTATTCTTTTTTCTTTTTATTCAAGGTATACTCACAGCCAACAATCATAAAATTAATTTTTTAAAAAAATCTGAACGTTATTTAAAAGATTGTCATTTTTCAAGTAATATTTTTTCACACAACTCCTCTAAAAGTCAAACTCTAAAGTGATATTTAAAAGATTCAAATTATTACCATCTGTATTACATTTACTTGCTTATGCAATCTGTGTATGTTGCAAGTTCATTTTACTTTTATATAAGCCATGCCTGAACTTCCAACGGTACATGGTCTGAGTGTTCAGTTTGTGAAATGGCAAAAACAAAAAAAACAAAAAACAAAAAACAAAAACAAAAACAAAAAAAAGAAAAAGATACTCCCAAACACAAACATTTCGGAATGGAAGTGGTCCAAAAATAATAATATGATGGAAAAAAAATAAAATCATTATTTTTTGCCAGAAAATATAAAATATTATTATATTATATAAAAGTAAAATCCATAACACTATGAATAAATACCATCTGCCCTTCAATTGTGCGCCCTTTTAATTTACCCGTTATTGTGTAATAAGGGCACTGCTCAGTTAATTTTAAGACACATTCCATTATCATCAGTTTATCATTATTCTGTTTTATGGTTATCAGTTATCACTCCAAATTTTTTTAAAAAGAAAATGATTCAGGGACAAGTTTACATTTTCTTCTATCTTAATTATTTTTAACATTTAAATTATTAGTGGAGATTGTGACGCGTTTGTCAAAAGTTTAAAATGCAAAGATCAATAGATCAAATGGTCAATTTAATATCAAGAGTTTATAATTACTTTTTATTTTGATAAAATCATAAGAACTAAAATTTGAAATTGTGACAAGTCTAAGGTCATGCTTGATAAGCCATCTTAAAAGAAAGGGAAAGTCCATCATTGAAAATAAAATTATTTATATATATTTTTAAAGAAAGGGAAACTTACTTCCCTAAAAATAAACACGACTTACAATTTGCGACAATGACAGATAATTCACAAGCTGCTTATTTAAATAGAGATGATTTCATTCAAATACTATCAACTAATAGTCCAAGCTCTCTACATCATGAAGTCAAAACCTGTGATTATACCCTATAACGGCAGAAAATACACATAGCAAAAGACTATGCTTTTGCCCTGAAGCTACAGAATGCAGAAAACACAATATAGGATAAAGGAGGCACTAAACTGCACAATGATGATCTTCACAAGCCTCACCAATAATACATACATATATATGTATATGATGCTGCTAGCGATGAATTTTGCCTATTGCCAGTGATCGAGTGCAAATATTTATGAGCTAGTTCTTGCCATTGAAATCCAAGAAGTCCGGGCCAGGCTGCCCGTTGAAAGGCTGTTCAGCGGATGACGGAGGCATGCTGACCTGTGATTGCTGTTGTGCCTGCTGGGATGGAGGATTTGCAAGATGTTGCAAGGCTAACTGAGAAGCAAATTGAGAGAGAAACCCACCATAAGAAGGGTTGCCATTCATGGCAGCAATTTGACTACTTTGTAGCTTCAGGCGTTGTAGTTCTTCCTTCAATGCTTCATTCAGAGCTGTGACCACCCATACATGTGTCTTCGTTAGTATTGCTACTTTGAAACAAAATATGGGAAAGTACAACTTCGATTTTCATCAAATGATACTATTTTGAAGGCATAAACAACCCTGGAACCCAGCATACCATCTCTAAGCTGTGCTTGTTGTTCCATAGCCTCTAAGCGCAGTTTAAGCTCCTTGTTCTCATTAGTCAACCCTGTAGTGTCTCTCTGCATCATATGCGACAAAAATTAGCTTTCTTCTCTTCAGCTTTTTCCACAGAAGTACCCACTTTCATGACATTTTAGGGTTACATTTTTTCTTTTAAGAAAAAAATTAGACGTTGAATCTCACATCTTTCAATCAAATTATATAAGGGGCTCCACAATACATGTACGTCGGACAGAATACTCGATGTTCCCCATGCCCCAAATAAAGACAAGAACCTTTACCAACTTGCTATGCAGTGGCAACAAATACTGCTTCATTTTAGCCATTAGATTCTACATCAAGACAGTTAATATTCCTCCAAATAAAGCTAGCTTTTACAGTAGATAACTGAAACGTCATAAAAGCACAAATCGTGATGAAACAATTTAGGAATCTCACTTGGCTCAAAGCCAACATTGTTGTCTTAAATAAGTAAAATCACTAACGCAAACCAAAATTTTGCTCAGGCTAATGGTAGTACAAAATTTGCAACTATATAGACACTGGCGATCAGAGCTTCAAGTTCATAGTCAGATTATCAATTTGAAGACAAAAACATACAATGTAGAAGGAATGCAGAAGAACTTAATTCCTGTCCCCATCTCCGTCATGAAGACCAGCTATAGACTTTTGAGGCACAAGATACGGACACAAGATAAACTTATGAGGCACTTTGTCAGCTACCCATACAATTCTCGAAAGTGTCATTGTTGAAACCCAAACAATAGCAAGCAAACAAATTCAAATATGATACTAGGTTTGGCAGTACAAGCCAAGGAGTGATGCAAGATAAAGGAACTGATGACACAACTGACCAGTACAGAACGCAGATCAATTCCAGAAAGAAATGATTTATGACAGGTAGTTACGTTGTGACACGTCACAGAGAATACAAGATGAAAATTTGATTCCACTGTCATGCATCACTTACAGCTATGTGCATGACTCCAAGACCTGTTGATGACTTTTTATTAATTCTAGTTTCCACATACCATAGTAGTAGGTTTCAACTTCCATGTTAACAAGGAGTTGTTGAATATCTATGTGAGAAAGTATTGCTTCTATAATTGTACAAGTTAACTGTGGTCCAAATTTCCCAAATTACAAAGAACTTATTTCCGTTTTGGTTTGCCAAATTACAAACAACTAGCATACACCTGTGTCATAACTCAGCCCATTACGCCTCACAGTAAAGCAGACATTTTTTTCAATGGAGTATATGAAGCTAAGAAGAATATTAAATTTCTTTTAAGAATTTTGATCATGATGATCAAGAAAAAAAAAAAAAAAAAAACCTTTTGGCGTTAAATCGAAACTTGAGTGACAATTTTGATAACAAAAGTGGACTTCTGCAACTTATGAAACCTTCAATATCTTCAGAATTTCTTTCATTTTCATCAAACCTATTATGAAATCATGAATGATTACCAATTTTAATCATACACATAATCAGGCCACACAGTTTGAGTCGCGTTGCCTCTAATATAAATCGCCAGATGGATCAGGGATGCCCTTGTATCGGTGCCTGCATCCCCAAACTCATGAATCAAGTCAGAAACACTGGTTTGTAGCATTCCAAAAAAAATAGAATTAGCTTTTTTGTCCAGTCCCTCATGAGCTGATGGACTCAATAGCTGAAAGTGAGTATCTTAGCTGGATAAGTCTTAAAACTCCCCATCCTCAAGCATCTATACTTGATTTGTTGGCCATGCTATGAGGTATTTTATTAACTTATAAATTTGTCAGATTACAAAGTAACAAAGTTATGACTCGTGATTTTGTTTGTAATATTTGTACTTTCTTTCTTCTTCTTTGTTTCAATTCCTTATTTATATTTTATCATTTGAGCCCTTTTTTGCCCACACAAAATTTATTTAATATGTTTCAAGTGGTTACCATGTTGTCTTTGAATAGTAAGATGCAATATGATTTACGATTCATGATTAAAAAATGTCCCGCGCCCGCCTTCTCATGATTGGAATGGTGAATTGTTGACTACGTTCCATATACGACAATACTGGAAGATAGGGATCCATCAGACCAAACTTTCAAGAATAGCCAATATCCCAATTCCTTTATGAACTAAGAATATGTTTCCAACACTAAAAAGACACCAAAGAGTGGGAAAAAAAAACGGATGAGCCTATTCGCATGACCAGTATTAGTTAATAGGCGAGGACTTCCATCAATTGCGATGAACTTGGTCTGGTCCTCACCCAAGTTATCAAATTTGTAATCTACAGATATATAAGAACTGTAAAGGACATACCTGAAGCATAGTAACCTGAGCAGAGAGGTTAGTTGCTTCATTTTGAAGCGTCTGTACCTTCCTTTCCAGCTCATTTGTATACCGAATTTTTCTCTCCTTTGATCGCGCAGCAGATTGCCTATTAGCAAGAATCCTGCAACATAGAATTTATCTAGTGTTATTACATTAAGTTCATAACCGAAATTTCTTCTACAGTTTTTAACCCAAACACCATTAAAACATTCGACAATGAATAAAAAACATCACGAGATCAAAGTCAAAATATTTTTCTATAGTTTCATTACTACTGATCACCAAAACAAACCTGATAGCAATAAAATCGCAAAAACGATATATGTAAAAAAAAAAACGGTTTTGCCCAAAATTCAGTTGAAAATATTGAAGTAGCAGAAGTAGACTGATCAACCTCCGAGCTCTCTTGGGATCAACGAGAGCAAGTTCAGCGAGCTTATCGGGAGCCATGGCCTTCTTCACACCGTCGATGGCCATGGAAGAGTCGGCCTCGAAAGACAAAGACGATGACCCATCCATGGAATTGCTGTGCCTGTGATGACCCCCTCTTCTCTCCTCCACACCTTTCCCGCCAAGTTTGTCGCCATCAACACCACCAGTCAATCCCAGGCCGTTGAAAAAATCAGAGTCCATTGACAAGCTCCGGATATGACCAACAGGGGAACCAGCGGTCCTGGACCGTGAATTCCTGCCGTTGGATTCCTCCGACGGCTTCGAGACCAAATCCATGGCTGCAGGCATGTCGCTGTGGGGTGCCGCAGCAGCAGCGGAGAAAGGCGAGGCGTTGGTGGAGGTGGAGTTGGGCAGCGCCGGCGAAGGAAGGTTGGAGATATCGAGGTCTGACGGGTCGAAGAGGAGGAGCTCGTCGAAGTTGGCGATGCGGAAGGAGGTGTCGGAGTGGGCCCTACGGTGGTAGGACCCACGCTGTGGGGCGTCAGGCATCTGCTCGAGGTCCACCGTGATGGGCGGCTTTCCGACGAACTTGGGGTCCATGGAAGAAAACAAACTGTGGTGGTCTCGTTCTTCCAAAAGCTGGTGGGTTGGGGAGGGGAGAGAGAGATTCTTCTGGTGGTGGTGGTGGTTGTGGTGGTGGGGTATAAATGGTGTGCGTCTGCTTGCGGGAGAGGGAGTGACGATTGACTAGGCTCAGTGCCACTGTGCCCGCAGAAGGAACTGCGTCTGATTTTTGCACAGCGTCACCAATTCTGGCGATGGTGCTTCAACTGATGATGAATCACCAGAAACTTTGTTGACTTCACCCTGCCCAAGAGTTTATTGTCTGCGTACCGCGCAAGATTAGGTATTTATCTTATCAATTATGCTATGCGCCTCCTGATCAAATAAACTGTCCGTGATGTCAAAAAATAAATAAATAAACTGTCCATTTTTTGACCCCTTTTTTTGTATTTTTACTTTCAAGTACTCCTATGTGTTAATATTAATGGTGGATGTCTCTTTTAGCCAGATTCGAACGTCAGGTAATGAAAGATTAGCCCCTTCTATTATATATAATTTCTGTTAATTTATTTTTTTTGTCTTGCATTAGATATTATTCAAAATTCATGTTATAAATGTTTTACACATGTGCCTGTATTTAGTAATTTTTCCCAACGCCTGATAAATAATTTTACCATCCTATAACATTTAATTAGGGGTAAATTTTGAAAAGAAGAAAAAAAAATTATACTCAACTCACTTCATGATCTTTTGTAATTTTAACAATTGGATATTATATTTAAGGGAGAAAATGTATTACATTTGAGTTTTATCATGTTAAATTAAAATTGAGCAAAATACTTAAAACTTGAGTTGGTAATTAAATTAAAATTAAAAATACAAACTGTGGTTTAGTATAAATTTCCTTTGCTTGAATATGATTTGATTGTATCAAATCCAAATAAATGTATTAACATAATTTAATTATTTCAACCTAACTAAATTGGATTCTAAATCACTAGTCATCAACATCAACACTAATATTAATACAATCAGTTTATTTTCAAAATCCATGCCTTATACATTATCCAATGACTAGTTATAATTCAATAAAAACTTATAAATTATAAATAAATTTCTCAGTGAGAATCAATTTTTATTTTCGTTCATGGCGGCCAGGTGTCCTTAGACCTTAGGGCACAAATAATTCTGCTCCCTTAATGTATGACTAATTTACTCCAAGTTTTTGTCAAAGCTCAAACAATCCACAAAGGAAGCGCTCCCAAATCTCATTGTTTGAATCAATTTTTTTTCCGGCACAGAAAATTTTGAGAGCCCACCAAAGTACAAATGTCTTCAAATTCAAAAGGCATATATAAATGTATCAACAGATCACTTAATTACAAGGTTCTTAAATTAATAACATGATTTCTATTTGTTATATAGATAATACTCTTTTCGTGCCGAATTATAAAATATTTTTAAACACAATTTCATATATAAATAAATTTCATTAAATACACCTAACAACTTTATCTTTTCAAAATAAAAATATAAACTTTCAAAAATACCCATAATTTAATATATTAAAAAGAGAAAAGATAAAAATTAATTATAGAACGAGAAAGAATAAAATTAAAATTGACACATTTAATGAAACCTTAATCTATCTAAAGTGTATTATATTTTAGAATAAAAAAACTCTTTTAAAAATATCCTATAATTTGGATGGAGAGAGTATACAATATTGGCAATTTTATAATATATCGTTGAATTATATAAAATATACAGAAAATTTATTATTCATGATCCATAAACTAGATAGCTCATTTCAACATGACAAAGCGCACATCTTCTTGTAAGATTATATATATATATATATATACACAGAGAGAGAGAGAGAGAGAGCATAGTTGCATGATAAGTGGGTAGAAATTGAGCACAAGTCCCAAAGTTGTTAGGCTCATAAAAGTTGTGTAAGTTGGGTAGAAGGAGGAGATTAGTAAACTTGTAAGGATGAAATTTGTAGGCATTTGCATATTTAAGAAAACACAAAAATATTGCAATTAAGAAGATGGGAAGCTCAAGCATGAGCTTCAAGACCCACTTCAACACTGAGCTCCATTCACCCACTTGGTCATGCCAATTCTCTTGTGCCACAGTTTCAAAACCTGTTAATTCTCTCAGGGGAATTACAGCACTCAAGGGTAAATGACTAGAGCGAATTCAATATGAGAAATATTGTAGAGTTTGGATTTTATCAATGGATTGATGGAATCGCCACAGCAAAAGGCAAAATAAAAGTGGCCATTACATCGCAAAAGGCTATTAATCACTATACCAAAAAGTGAAGAGATAGCTTAAAAGTCCAATCAAACGTAGGGGATACATCAATTTACTTAAGAACGGGATCAACTATCAAGGACATGGGACCTTCAAAATCTTCCTTGCTATGCAAGCATGTTCCCCAGACGACCCAGGTGTTAGGTACACCCAAGAATGTTGACATTCATAGAATCTATCCAGCTCTTGCTACCTCTCAGCTGATTTAAAGCTCTACTACTTCAAAATCTTCTTAACCTGGTTATGTGTTGATCACAAGTTATTATATCCTATGATCAGGGTCATGAAAGTTACCACACCCCCTTCTTTGGGAAAAGTAGCGAACTTTAGCAAGTAAAGTTGTCCACCAGTATCGCTTTAATCGCAACAATTTATTTTACTTTAATTGGAGATCATTATCTTCAAATTTTCAAAGAGGAGGAGGCTTCATATCATCCTTAAGAAAGAGTCCATTTCTATTGTGCCACAGGATCATTCATTACTTTAACAGATGGGGACTTACTAATGAACGAGGAGCAAGCTCATCAAACTTACTTGTTGCTTTTGGTATGGGATCACTGGATTCACCATTGCGGATCGTATTCAGAGAAAGTTAAAACCATATTTTGGTGCCTAACCACAAAAATAGAATTAACAATAAGAGACGAACATAATCAACAAAGAGGGGAGGTTGCTATATTAAAGGAATTATATTGCAATTTGAATGTGTGGATAAGATAATCTTTTCTTCACCAGCCTACAACGGCAACACCATTCAACGGGAGAGAATGAGAGATGCAGGAACGTACAGTGAACCCACTTAACATGAGTTCCGCCTCCCTCCTCATTTTACAATCTAGTTCACTGTAAAAAAAATCCAAAACATTTTAAAAAAAAAAACAATACACATTTTATAGCAGTTACACCATTATGTAAGATATAGGGAGTGGTGGGGCCCACCAGGTGAGTCCCACCACTCTATTTATCTTTTCATCGCTTGATCCAAACAATTATAGATAAAAAAAATATTAATATCAAAAGAATTATGCTAACTCAATGTTTGTCTTCATTTGTTAATATCTTCTTTTTTGATGCACAAAGGAAAAGGGAAACTACATAGAGCAATCCTTATTCAGCGAATGCCATTTGTTAATATCTTCAATTCTTTGTATTTTACAACATTTATGAACTTCTATAGCAACCAAACTATGCTACAACTAAAATCAAATGAAAAGATAGAGGGCTGTGTACCATTCTATCTCTACCTTTATATTGCATGACTTGAACCATTGTAGAGAATCCACAACATTAATATGTCAAATTATAACAACTTAATGGTTATATTCTCTTTCGTTATCTTTGATTCTCTATATATTTTAATGTTTTGAACATCTATTGCAACAGCACAGTGCTATGAAGAAGAAAAAGATTAAAAAGGAGGGTGAGGCTCACTTGACATCTTTGGTTATATCCTTTTGGTGTTGCATTTTGATTTTCTTTTCTAAAACATAAAAGGTTACTTTGGGAGTGATATAGGTATAAGATTAGGCCAAATTGGGAAGAAATTAGGATAGGCATCAAGGAAAGAAGTGTAATTTCTAGCAAAGAATGGGATAGGTGCAACTGTAGACAAAATGGTTTTAGGACAGATAAGATGGAGTGCTAGATGCATGCATTTTTATCTGAAGCTAGATATGATAGAGTCACGGCTAGATAGAAAGCTCTCAAGTTTGATAGGAGAACTTGGCAAAAAGGATAATTTACAACACTAGATAGGATTCATGAAGCATAACTAGTGCTGGATGTAAAGTTAATATTTAAGAGCGCAAATTTTAAAAGAAAAGAAAAAACAGAGGAAGAAACATGTTTGGTCTATGAGTTAGGATGTCCTCTGCTAGGGTTTTGCATTTTCGATGCTTGGGAGGCATATGGAGGCTTCAGTCACTTGGGTAAACTTCTTAAACTTGTTTTCTACCCTTTAACCCTCAAGTTTTATGGTTTTGATGAGGATTTGGTTGATAGATGAAAATTAGGGTTTGGCAACTAGGGGATTTCGATTTTCTTATGCATCTAACTACCTCTTGGGCTTGTAATAACGTAGGTGATAAATAACAAGTTGATATAATTTTATCCTTTTAATTTAAGCTTTTAAATATTTATTTGACACTAATTACATTTAATTAAATATTATTTGAATTTATTAGTCAATATTTAACTTTAAAATTTTAAATACCTAAATCTTGTGTTTTAAAATATAAATAATATCTTTGATATTTTTGTACATTTGTTATTTTATTTTATTTTATTTGTGCAGATTTTTTGGATCTAATTTAAAAGATATTGATGGAGATTATTTTGAATAGAATAATATGAGCATACTTAAACATTAAGTCAAGAATTAAATCTTATAAATTTTATTTATATTTTTTGAGTTCTTTAATGTAATTTTTAATTAGGTCATTAAGGATAGTTTTATTTTTTTAATAAATTATTAGGTTTTCCTTCAGCGTTGTACGCACATGCTTTGCTTAGCCACAAAAATCACAGACAGGGAATTTAATAAAAAACGCACTGCTTTTGGGAATAAAAAGTGATGGATAGAAACAGTGGAGAAGACGGAGGATTGGAGGGCAGCTGGGGCACGCACGCGACTTCTTCGTGCAGTGGCGATCGCTCTTCATCTTTTTCCATTCAATACTTCCTGATAGCTTTTTCTCCTTTTGTCTGTTGCTGTTTCATTTATAGATTTATAAAGAATTAATTTTGTTAGTGTACAAACCATGACCCTAAATTATAACAAGACTCTTTGATATTTAGAGAAGATTTTATTTTAATTTTATTTTAATTTACTCTTTTTTTTATCTCTGAATTTTATATTTTAATTATTATTACTGATTGTTAATTAGAGTAGCTTTATTATATAATTTTTAGGTTATATATTTTATTTAAAATTTTACTTGCTATAATCAATTAATATAATAATATAAGAGTAATTTGGCTTAATTTGAATAATTATTCATACTTTGTTTC